TCCCTTATACACATCTAGATGTGTATAAGAGACATCTCTCTCTCTCTCTCTCTCTCTCTCTCTCTCTCTCTCTCGCGCACACACACACACACACACACACACAAGAGGACACAGACACACACACCAACCCAGCCTGGCCCGTTTTTTTTGTTGATTTGTTTTAAATTTTTGCATCTTTATTTTTCTTAAACACCTAATTTCCCAACAAAAAAAACGAGAATCATTTCAAAAAAAAATACAGCACAACTGAGGGACCATATCCCTCATGATAAAAAATGTCAAAACAAAATTCCTCTTTTTTTTTTTTTTTTTAATATTTTGTTTAATCGAATTTCGTTTTTCATTTTTTTTAAAATCTTAAACGAAGTCAGATTCCAAAATAAAAAATACAGGGTTGTAGGGTTTTTCAAGCCCTACACCCCCATTCTATTATTATTTTTTTTAACATATTTTTAGGGTAAAAAAAAAAAAAAAAAACAGGTCGCGGATTGGGCCTCATAGCCCGCGGCCGCGACCGAGATTCTCGGCCGCAACGGCCGAAATGCCCGCGGCCTAGGCCGCGGGTGTCACATAGCCAGAGGGCCCCGCAATGGCGGCCAAAATGCTGAGAAGATGGCCAAAAGTCAAAACGCAGACTGATGACCTCCTCACGATTCTTTAAGCTGCAACATTGTCCCTCTTGCAGAAGCCCAATTACTTTCCATGCGACGGGAGCTGAGGTATAAGGGCTTCCCGAACCATATCTTCCAACTGTCCCTCTGTAACTTCTCCCACAAGAATGCACGCTGCTGGACCTTTTGGGTGGGTTGTTTCTCCGAGGGTCTGTTTGAGGGGTTTTCCGGGAGGCGGGTTTGTAGAAGACCAGTTCTGGGTCCCGGATCTGTCACAAGATTTGTTGTGGACTTGCTGGATTACGACACAAGGTAGGAAACGTGTTCAAACTGTGAACACGAGAGGGGATCAGGTTGGGATCTTTTTCGATAGGTGGGTATGAAGAGGACCAGTTTTCGGTCCCATATTCTGCCAAACGGTCTGCTATGAACTCAGTGTGGTTGATCGCGTCAAGTAGGAAACACGATCAGATTGGGAACACATTTTTAGCAAAAACGCTCCTCCGCATCCCTCTGCCATTTTCCTTCCCGTGGTCTTCCTTTGAGTTATTCCGTCTTATTCACCTTTAGTTTGATTCTCTGCTATGAGGAATCTCGCCCTGCTCCGCCATCCTGATGTACTCCCGTCTGTCCCACCCGCGTTTCCCCGCCTCCCACTCTGCCTGCCCCGATCATGTCCTTTCTCCATCACCCTTTCTGTATGCCAACTATCTCCCTCTCGTCTCTTCCCATTGGGCATATCCCCTGTCTGCATACCCCGAATTCACGATATCTTTCGATCCAAGATAGCATGCCACTTCTCTGACGTGACAATTTTCCTCTGCTCATTCGCTCTGCGCTATCTCCCACCGTTCCCGCCCTAGCCTGCCTACCCCTTTCTTCTCAATGAAGGAACGAACGACGAGACGAACGTGGATCGTGCAAGTGCACATCCGTTGGCTCCTCCTATTTAAGAAGGTTAGTTGTCTCTCCCTTCCTAAGCGCATTAGTTCCCCTGAGGATGGCTGCTACGGCGAGGCGGCCGAAACATATGTCGGGATGATCGCCAGTTTTGTGCGTCATCGTTATATTATCCGAAACTATTTTGCGCTTATGTTTTTCTTTTCTCTCTCTCCCCCTATTCCTGATTTCTCCTCTCTCTCTCTCTCTCTCTCTCTCTCTCTCTCTCTCTCTCTCTCTCTCTCT